GAAATGTTCCACGTTGAAGGAAACTAACAAGATGGAAAACTCAGTGATTCTGGATGAGAAGCTGCAGCAGAACTAAAAATGACACATTGAAACACTTTTCGAAATTTGAATGGGTCTGTGAATTGGATAGTAGTGTCCAATCAATTTGGTTTCGTGTTTTGGACGGTTGAATTAGCATGTGTTAGAGAGTGTCTTTGTTTTGGAGAAATGCACATCGGAGGTTTTTGGGGGGAATTGGGTACAGTGTCTGTAACTTGCTCTCAAATGATTCAGAAAAAGAATGGGGGTATGCAAATGTAAGAGAGAGAGAAAGAATAATAGAAGACGGTGCAAATGTAGTGAAATGTTGAAAATTGCAGATTCTGGGAGAAGGTGATATGGGAGTTCTTTGTACTGACAAGATTAAAGGGTCCATGATTAGTAAGGCTAATTTACTAACATCGCATTATTGTTGGGGTATTTGCTGGACCTGCCTTTCCAGCATGTCCCTGAAACAGGATTATATATATCACCCCACTGATGTCTGGTTTGGCCATGTGACTTGCTCTAAGAGCCATCACTTAGTTCTGCCATCTCTTTTCCCTCTGCCACGGGAAAAGCATATCCAGACAGAGGCTGCTCCTTTAGCCTGGATCCCAGAGCCAATCCACAGGAGCACAGCTGCAGCATGAGCCAGAAAGCAATCTTTGTTGTGGCAACCCACTGAGATCTGGTGGTCATTTGTGATCCACGGCAAACTTAGTCTCAGCTCACTGATACACTTAACTGGTAAATAACTTGCGTGGCTAGACTGTGAATATAGGTTGTCGATCTGACATCAAAGCCCATGCTCTTTCCATTTGATATAAAGAATTATTTATTGATTTTAGAACCATTTTACTGATTAAGTTGGCCTTTGTAGGGCTCAGCTGAACTGAACTTGTCCATTCCTTAGCACTTAGGTAGCGTTTTGTCTTATAATTCTTTTTAGTCCTCTTATTCTTCTTTGCAGCAGAACTATTATTTCCAGCAATATTATGGATAAGATAGCCCCCAAAACACTTCGGCTACAAAGCATTAAAATGCTGGATAAAATATGGCTGAGCTAGCAAGAAAGTCAAGGAAACAGTCTGAGTATTTAAACTACTCTGAAATACTAAAAGACTGAAAATGGAATGAGAACAGGAATCCAAGGAGAAGTAAATGAGCAATGAAGCTAATGGTCATTCTAAAGGTAGATCTTGACTCCTAGAGATCAAAGATTTTATATATATATAAGATATATATATATTATATATAATCACATATATATACACATATATAAGATATAGAAATATGGATATCTATATCTTTTTATTTTGAAAGAGTTTAAGATGCATAACAAGTTGCAAAAATAATAGAGTTACTATGGACCTTTCTCCCAACTTCTGCAATGATAATACATTACATAATCATAGTACATTGGGAAAACCAGGAAACTGACATTGGTACAATACTATTAATTCAGGTATAGACCTTATTTGGATTTTACTAGTTTTTAATGTACTAGTTTTGGTTTTAGGGGTTGAGTTCTATGAAATTTTATCACATGTGTAGACATGACTAACTGTTAACACAAAGAAACTCCCTCATGTTACCTCTTAATAGTCACACCCTTCTCCCAACCATACCTCTTGGCAACCACTGATCTGTTCTCCATCACTCTAATATTTTCACAACGAGAATGGTATACAAATAGAATCTCACAGTATGCAACCCTGTAAGATGGGCTTTTTTCATTCAGCACAATGCCCTCAAGATTCATCTGATTTGTTGTATGTATCAATAGTTCATTCCTTTCTATTGCTGAGTAGTATTCCACAGCATAGATAGCGACTGTTTTTTAGTCACTCGTTTTTTGGCTTGTTGCCAGTTTTTGATGATTACAAATAAAGCTGCTATGAACATTCATACACAGAATTTTGTGTGAACATAAGTTTTCATTCTTCTCGGATAAATACCCAGGAGTGTGATTGCTGGGTGATAAGATGAGCATATTTTTAACTTTACAAGACACTGTCAAATTGTTTTCCAGAGTGGTTGTACCATTTTATATTCCCACCAGCAATGTATGAGAGATCCAGCTGCTCTCCATCCTTGCCAGCATTTAGTACTCCCAGTACTTTTAATTTTAGCCTTTCTAATAGGTGTGCAGTGGTATCTCATGGTGGTTTGAATTTGCATTTTCCTAATGGTTAATGATGGTGAACATCTTTTCATGTACTTATTTGCCATCTGTATACCTTCTTTGATGAAGTGACTATTCAAGTCTTTTGCCCATTTTCCAACTGGATTGTTTGTTTACTTACTCCTGAGTTTAGATGGCTCTTGAAATTAAAAATGAGATAACATTTTGAACAAATTTATGCCAATTAATTAAAAAACTTATATAAAATGAACAAATTTCACAAAAAATATGACTTACCAAAAACTGACCAAGAAGAAATAGACAGTCTGAGTAGTCCCTTAACCAATAAAGGAATTGAATTAGTAGTGAAATGTCTTTCTACTTTAGAAAGCACCAGCCTCAGATGGTCTTCCCAAGAGAATTTTAACAAACATTCAAGGAACAAGTAATTACAATCTTACACAAACTCTTCCTGAGAAAAGAAAAACAGGAAACACTACCTAACTCATTTATAAGGCTGGCTTAATCAAGACATCAAAACCAAAGAGACCATGATAAATATATCCTAAACTCATTCATGAACAAAGACTCAAAGATCTTAAATAAAATATCAGCAAATTTAATCCAGCAATGAATAAAAAATTAACACATAATGAGCAAGATGGGTCTACCAAAGGAACACAAGGCTGGTTTAACATTAAGCAATCGATTAGTATAATTCACCACATTAACTGATTAAGAAAGAAAAACTATAGGGTCATTTTAAGAGATTCAGAGAACGTATTTGATAAAAGTCAACATCCATTCATGATAATAATTCACAGCAAGCCAGTAGAGAAAGGATATTTCTTAAACTGATAAAAGGCATCTACCATGAGCATTTAAAAAAGTTCAACATCTTATTAAAAAAAAAAAGAAATAGAAAGGAATTTGCATAATCTGATAAAGGACAGCTATCAAAAGTCTAGAGCAAAAACTATATGTTAAAGTTTAACATTAAAATCATTTCCTTTAGATTCAGGAATAAGAAAGGATGCCTGTTACCAGTACCTCTGTTCAATATTTCCCTGGCCATCCTAGAGTGCAGTAAGGCAAGAAAATGATATAAAAGGTTTGAGGATTAGAAAGCTATAAATAAAATTGTCCTTATTTGTAGATGATATAGTTTCAATCTAGCAAACAAAAGAAACTGAAAATAAATAGTATTAAAATTAATAAAATTTAGCAAGACTGATCAACATAAGATAAATATATAAAAATCACTTGCATTTCTATATATTAGCCACAAATACTTAAAAATATAATTTTTAAAAAGATGTCATTTACAATAGCAACAAAAAAAACTAGGATTAAATCATTAAAATATGCAAAATCTTTGTGGAGACGAATTATAAAACCTTTTGAAACCCCAATATACCATATTCACATAGATATACCATATGGGCTCAGGGGATAGGAAGCCTATATATTTCAAGTTAATCTATAAATTCAATGCACTTCCAATCAATATTCCAGTGGAATTTTTTGAGGAATATGACAATATGATTCTAAAACTTACATGGAAGATTAAAGAGCCAAGATATTCCTGAAGAAAATAAGGGTTTTTTTGGGGGGGGAGGGGGAGATGTAATAAACCAATGATATACAATACAGACAGAGCCCAGAAACAGACTCATGTGTATATGGAAGTTTGATATATGACAGAGATGACACTGCAGATCAATGAGGAAGTAGTGATGGGATAACTGATTAACCAAATAGAAAATAAAATTGGATCCTTGCTGCACACCTAACACAAAAATGAATTCTACACACATGAGGATGTAAATATAAAAGGAAAAACTTACGGCTTTTAGAGGAAATAAAAAACATATCTTTTTTAAATTGAGGTATAATTAACATTAAAGAAATAAAAGATACCTTTATTACCTTGGGTAGGAAAGACATTTTAAAGATACAAAGATACAAAACCCATTAAAGAAAATTATTTGTATGTTTGGCACATTAAAATAAAGAGCTATGCACTGAAAAACATCATAAAGTAAGGCAAAAAGCAAGAGGCAAATAAGGAAAAGATATTTACCATACACACACCCAACCGAGAATGAACATCCAGGATATATAAAGAATGCTTACAAATGAATAAGAAATAAGAACTACCAAATAGTTGTGATAACAGAACCGGCTGCTGATGGAAACTAGGCTCTGAGTCACCAGTGGGTGGGGGGGGGGCGGCGGCTTCATTTTGAGTCATGCCAGGGATACTTATAAAATAATAAAATAAAATGCACTGGGCAGAAATCCACAGTGTCAGGTACTTCTCACATTTTCCAGGGGCCACTTGCTATTTCCTCCTACCCTCACCTTTCCCACAATCTCAGTTCCACCTCTTAACGTCTTCATGCGTCTGATAAGAAGCAGCATGTTCCTATGGTGGTCCCTGGCACCAAGTTCCCCAGGACTGGCCAATCTGATGATAAGAACAACCTGGACCTCCAAGCTCCCACCCCCCTTCGCCGCCCAGATTCTCTAAGACCTTGACCACGACAGATGAGGCAGGTTTCCATTTCAATTCTCTACGCTCTGTGACCAAAACTCTGAAGGCTGCGCAGCCCTCATCACCGTATCAGAGTCTGCGCAACCTGGGACTTCGAGCCAAGACATCCTCAAGCGATCCTACTTTGACAAAACAAACGATCACACCCAATAGGGGCCTCAAGTGATTCATCGCATAGCGCTTCACACCCAGCCTGCCGCCGGCCGAGGCTCAGCCCTGCGCCATCGCGTCCACGCCTCGCTATGACGTCACACAAGGCGCCCCGAAGTGGCGACTGGGCTCGTACGTCAGTTGGCTGCGCCGAGTTGGCAGCTGCCCTACAGTCGGTGGGAGGAGGCGAGAAGGGGAGGTGCTGGGGCCAAGATCATGCCTTACAGCGAGGGTTTTCTGGGCAGCAGAGGCCGCTGGGGTTGGGATGAAAGAAGCAGAGCAGATGCAAAATCTGGAGAGCGCGGGGGCCAGGCGGTCAGTGAGCACCCAGACTGGCAGCATGACCGGTGAGTGCCCCGCAGCCTGCTCCCGCCACTGCAGCCTTTCGCTCTGCCCTGTGCGTCGCCCGCCGTTTGACTCCGGGTTCCCTGCCTGCCCCTCTTCGCCGGCGCTTCTGCTCCTGGGTGTCTCATCCCCGCCCTGGGCGCGTCCCCGCCTCCGTCACTGGGACCCCCTCGACCCGGCTGCATCGGCTTTTGAAGTCGCTTTCACTGCCCCCCTTTACTTTTCCTCTCAAGAGCTAGATCTGGGATCGACGGGGATCGGGGATCGACGAGCCTGAAAATTTCTCAAACCGTGTTTTTGCCTTGATTTCAAAATTAACCGCACGCTAGGATTTCCTGTATTTCAACTGCTTTACACTCAAAGGTCACCGCAGTTTTAGTATGTGTTGTAACCACTGCCTTTGTGGCAACGCCTCATCACAGTCCAAAGAAAGGCTTGCTCCACGATGACATAAGATGCAAGGACTTTTCATAACTTCCTTTGGATTGTTCCCATAGTTACGTATATCAGTTGTACTGTTTTTTTCTGCCAGATGAAAGAGCGCCCAACTTGGGAAAGTGCCAGAGGGGGTCGCCCGCAAGGAGGTTGAAACCAGTCTCCTGCTAAGAAAGCGCTTAGATTCTCTTGCCCTTTAATCCTTTTTCTCTGCCTCCTGCTAAAACAGCTGAGCTAAGTCTGCAGTACTCAAGTGGCATTGAGTTTAGTTCTTATTTTCATCATTAGTAAAATTTTAAAGTGTTTGCCCTTTCTTTTTAGGTCAAACACCAAGACTTTCTAAAGTCAACCTTTTCACTCTGCTCAGTCTCTGGATGGAGCTGTTTCCAGCAGAAGACCAAAGACAAAAATCTCAGGTATAATGTGATTCCTTAGATAGTTTTTCCTGTTAGAAAAGCAATGGTCTAAAATTTGATTTTATTGCCCCAGTTTCTATCATGCTTAAAAACAAACTTAACAAGCCTTAAAATTTTCAAACTACCTTTATGGTTTAGTGTGATACTTGTAATTCATAGCTTTAATATCTCCTCTTTCCAGTTCAAAAATAGAATAGTTACCCTCTCAGACTGTGCCATGTTTATCAGATATTAATGGTACTTACATGTTGTTTATGTTTGGCCAATTAGATTATTGTCTATATCACATAATTTATAGCTCAGTTGTATACTGTTGGTATTTTATCTGAGTGGCTTTTCCCTCTCCCAGCAAACTAAATTGATTGAAGGTAGAGACCATGTCGTATTTTACTTGGTATAGCTATTAGCATCTACTATTAGAATAGGTAAGCTCTAGGTGTTAATTGATTTTGTTCTGTGTAAGTAGTCTCTTTTTTGAATCTCAAAAGAGATGATCAAAACAGATTAGGAATGTGTAGTAAGAATAATCATAAAAGTGTATTGGAAGTGTGTACATTCTGCATCTTTTTTTCTCCTACTCTTGGGGCAGCAAGGTGCTACATTCTCATTATTTTCCATCATGCTTGGAGTTAGGTTTCCTCCATGCATGGCGTTAGGTTCCCACCATTTTGGTTTAGTAGATGTGGAAGTTTAGAGTGTTGTCATTAATTTTTAGGGGGCCAACGTCGTATTATGGAAAATAGTATTAGGTTAAGTTAAGCATTTAAGATGGTTTTGAAAACAGAAGAAAAAGAGGGAAAAATTACCCATGGCTTCTCACCATTCTAACAACATCAGTTTTTTTTTTCTTTTTTGGTGAGGAAGATTGGCCCTAAGCTAACATCTGTTGCCAATATTCCTCGTTTTTTGCTTGAGGAAGACAGTCCCTGAGCTAACATCTGTGCCAGTCTTCCTCTATTTTGTACATGAGATGCCGCCACAGCATGGCTTGACGAGCGGCATGTACGTCCACGCCCGGGATCTGAACCCGTGAACCCCGGGCCACTGAAGCGGGGCACTCAAACTTAACCACTACAGCACTGGGCCGGCCCCTAACAATATCGCTTTTAACATTTTGCTACTTTCCTTCAATCTTTTTTTAAGCACAAGGTTGTTGTGTTTTTTTCCCTCTTACAAAATAGTAATTATATTCTGCATATGCTTATTGAAGTTTCCAACTTTCTGATAATGTTGCTGGGAGGTTGCTTTAGGTTTTCCACAGAAAGACTTTTTGTAAATCCTTAAATTCCCACAGTATTCTTATGAGGTCATTCATAACTATCCTTTTTTTCTTTTCCATTTTTGATGCCTTCTTTACTGTGGATGAGGTTGTGTGTATGGTACTGGAGATACAAAGAAAAGATGTAGTCCTTAAGTTTCTATTGGGGATGAAAAACTAGACATTTAAACAATTAAGATACAATTAGATGGTAGAGGCAAGTATAAAGTATAAGCAGAGGTACTACCAAGACTGAAAACTAAGAGCTAGGCTCTACGTGGGGAAGTGTGGGAAGGAATGATTCACAGGGGAGGCTGCTTTTGCACTGAGATATGAAGAATAAGTAGGTATTTGTCAAGCCAAGGGACTCCATATGGAAAATCTTGGAGGAGTGAGAGAACTTGTGGTCCTCATGTTGGAGGGTGAAGTTGGGTGGAAGGAAGAAACTGACGATGAGCTTGGAAAGGTATACAGAAATCAGATCATAAAAAACGCTGTATGCCTTGCAAGGGAGTTTAGAATTTATCTTCTAAGTATTGAGATTGCATTGAAGAATTTTAACAGGGAATTAGGGAATTCATTTTTTTGTAATTAAGACAATTTTTTTAGAGCATTTTTAGGTTCACAGCAAAATTGAGGGAAAAGTACACAGATTTCCTGTATACCCCCTGCCCCCACACCTGAATAGCCTCCCCCATTATCCACATCCCCCCAGAGTGGTACATTTGTTGCAATTGATGAACCTATATTGACACATCATGATCACCCAAAGTCTCTGGTTTACATTATGCATAGTTCATTCTTGGTGTTGTACATTTTGTGGGTTTGGACAAATGTATAATGACATGTATCCATCATTATTGTATCATACAGAGTGTTTTCGTTGCCCTAAAAATTCTCTGTGCTCCACTTATTCTTCCCTCTCCCACCCTTGGCAACCAGTGATTTTTTTTTTTTTTTTTACTGTCCTTGTAGTTTTGCCTTTCCCAGAACGTCATATAGTTGGAATCATACAATATGTAGCCTTTTCAGATTGGCTTCTTTCACTTAGCAATATGCATTTAAGGTTTCTCCATGTCCTTTTATGGCTTGATGGCTCATTTCTTTTTAGAGCTAAATAAGATTTCATTGTCTGGATGTACCACAATTTATCCATTCACCTACTGAAGGACATGTTGGTTGCTTCCAAGTTATGGCAATTATGAATGAAGCTGCTGTAAACATCTGTGTGCAGGTTTTTGTGTGGACATAAGTTTTTAACTCCTTTGGGTAAATACCAAGGAATGTAATTGCTGGATTGTATGTAAGGGTATGTTTAGTTTTGTAAGAAACTGCCAAACCGTCTTCCAAAGCGACTGTACCATTTTGCATCCCCACCAGCAATGAATGAGACTTCCTCTTGCTCCACATCCTCGCCAGCACTTGGTGTCAGTGTTCTGGATTTTGGCCATTCTAATAGGTGTGTAATGATATCTCATTGTTTTAAATTTTAAATTTTAATTTTATTTATTTATTTATTTTTCCCCCAAAGCCCCAGTAGATAGTTGTATGTCATAGTTGCACATCCTTCTAGTTGCTGTATGTGGGACGCGGCCTCAGCATGGCCAGAGAAGCGGTGCGTCGGGGCGAGCCCGGGATCCGAACCCGGGCTGCCAGCATCGGAGCGCACGCATTTAACCGCTAAGCCACGGGGCCGGCCCTATCTCATTGTTTTAATTTGCATTTCCCTGATGACATATGATGTGGAGCATCCTTTCATATGCTTATTTGCCATCTGTATATGTTCTTTGGTGAGGTGTCTCTTAAGGTCTTTGGTGCATATTTTAGTCAGGTTGTTTGTTTTCTTAGTGTTGAGTTTTAAAAGTTCTTTGTATATTTTGGATAACAGTCTTTTTATTACATGTGTCTTTTGCAAATATTTTCTCCTGGTCTGTGGCTTGTCTTCTCATTCTCTTGACACTGTTTTTCACAGAGCAGTTTTTAATTTTAATGAAGTCCAGCTTATCATTTATTTCCTTCATGGATTATGCCTTTGGTGTTGTATCTAAAAAGTCATCACCATACCCAAGGTCATCTAGGTTTACTCTTTTGTTATCTTCCAGGAGTTTTATAGTTTTGCATTTTACGTTTAGGTCTCTGATCCATTTTGAGTTAATTTTTGTGAAGGGTATAAGGTCTGTGTATACATAAGAAATTCACTTTTCATGATAAAGTGCTATCTTTTGGAGTAGTTTTCTCCAATTCCTATGTGAAATATTTTACAAATAGTAAAACATTATTAAAAATGTTATTCATTTTTATTCCCTGTTTCTCAACCACTACCCAACCCCCACCCTGGCTCCACACATTATTAATGGCTTTGAGAAGGCTCTTCATTTCCTTCATGGTTTTGAAGTCCTTTATTCTTTCTGCTTGTTAATAATAGCTTAGTATTATTTTTATGAAAGAAGATTTTCAAGCTGTTGGGGTTTTTTGTTTTGTTTTGTTTTGCAGATAAAATTTGTCTTGAAGAGACAGATTAGAAGCAGAGGTTTAGAGATTTAGGACTTTTTAAAAGCGCATTTAAAAAGCTGATCTTGTTAGAGATTGAGTACTAATTTTGAAGCAGCTTTTTAAATGTCAAGATTTTATCTCATTTTAATTCTTATATCAATCTTATATATAAGGATATATATATTTATAATACATCCTGTGCTGAAATTAAGTTCTTTTTTGACAGACAGGCACATTAAATTAAATAAATAATTCTAGTACTAATTGCACATTGATGTTCATAGAGTAGAGTAAGATCTTTTTTCCTTTAAGAGAAGAAAAATGTTCTTGAAGCTAAAGTAATAAGTTTGTTTCACTTAAATTCTTTATTCTGGGCCGGCCCCGTGGCTTGGCGGTCAAGTGCTTGTGCTCCGCTGCTGGCGGCCCGGGTTCGATCCCGGGCGTGCACCAACGCACCGCTTCTCCGGCCATGCTGAGGCCGCGTCCCACATACAGCAACTAGAAGGATGTGCAGCTATGACATACAACTATCTACTGGGGCTTT